AGAGACGTTTTTGTGTTTTTAGACTATTTTAAATTTTTAAATATTATATCCAATTTATTATTAAGTTTTTTTATTAACATTTAATGGCTCATTTTCAACTAATTTTTTATATCTTGTGACTTTTTTGGTCATTATACATACTCAAAGTGCTTTTGTATAAAAGTTTACCAAACACTTTGATTACTCACAGCACTTTTTCAAATATAGTTTACCAAACGCCTAACTAATTTTTTTCACAGCTAATTATTTTTGCAGCACAGCAGAAGCAGTTTTTTTTAAAAGCACAGCAATGCCAAACTAGCCCTAACTTCAAAAAGGAGTCTGTTTACTGTTTAAATCATGCAATTCAATTGGTCGTTGCAATTCAATCCTCCTTTTGTGTTTTTTTTTTATTTTTATGTTGTGTGTTTACTTTTGAAATAAAATTAAATTTATGGAATTTCAATTTTTTTTTAGGTCAAATTGTTCAAAAAATTAAATTATGACGGTATTTAAAAAGATAAATGAAGAAAAATTTTCCATAAAAAAAAAAAAACTTAAATTATTTTTAAACAATTTAATAAAGTTGCGTATTTAAAATTTGAGTTCGGAAGGTCGGGAGAAAAAATAATTTGAGTCCGGCAAAACCCAAATAGTCACACTTTTTGGAGGGGGGAAATTTGGATTTAGCCCCTCATGTTGGAGAAGGCCTTACTTTCATAAATTCAAACCAAATACCTTAAAATACCCAGCTCTCTTAAAAAGACCCTAAAAATTTGAAGAAATTTTGGATGCAATTCAATGAGGTTAGCCTAGAGGCTGTCGAAACAGAGAGGGCGATGTAGGTTAGGCTTAGGTCGACGCGAGAGAGAGAGAGAGAGAGAGAGAGAGAGAGAGAGAGAGGATGAGGTTGATAGATTGAGACAGGTGATCGAGCGAAGAGATGATACCAGACGAGAGAGAGATAGATGAAGTGACGCCGACGTTGTCGCCGATAGAGCTGAGATAGGGAGAGACGAATCGATAGAGTAGCTGAGGTCGAGAGAGTGATAGGCGACGAGTGAGAGTTAGGCTTAGGTCAGAGGAAGGAAGAAAGAAGAAGACTGAGAGAGAGATAGTCGTGTAAGTGAGGTGAGGGTACGGGAAAACCAAGCAAACGTCGCGCAGGAACGAACCACAAACGTTCGACCATGTCTATGGAAGTCACCGATACAAACCTAATCACCGACCTACAATCCCTGGTCGACTCCCTCCAGCACAGAGTTCAGGTACCTTCTCTCTCTCTCTCTCTCGCTCTCTCTCTCTCTCAGTCCCCTTTGGTTAGTGAGAAGTTGTGGTTAAAATAAGAAGCTCAAATGATCAAAATCCTGTTCATTCCCTGCAACGCATTGTGTATTTCATAGCTTAAATTATTTGTTGGTTGATTGTTTATCATCAATGGAAATCATAGCATACATAGTATGAGTCTCAGCTATTTATTTATATAAACATTATAGCATAAATCTCAGCTATTTATTTATTCTCCTTGATAAATCTAAGCAAACAAGGGGTGGGTTGTAACTTCCATCTAATAGTTAATCCCCCAAGTCTTCATCATCCTGGACTCAAGTTCTCGTTTTCCATTTTTGTTTTTTTGGTTCTATTCAGTTTTCATGTTAAATATATTTGTTTAGATTTTTCTATGATTTTTTCCCATGTTGGGAATGTTGAGGAGAATGGCTTCCAGAACCTGATATTCAAATAATGTCAGTGTGAAGGGCTTGCAAGACAGGTCTTGTCCACCAAATTTGGAGAGTCACCGTATAGGTACAGGTAATTTCATATGTTGTGGGGATGACGGTAACATTAGGAGTTCAAGTATGCCAGAGGAAAAAAATAGCTAGGAGAGTTGGGAGGTTGGTGGAGTAAGCTAGGTACTTCTTGAAAAGAATGAACTTAGAATTAGTTCCATATCTAGTAAACAAGAGTGAGGAGCTTGGGAAAATGAAGGAGGAATAAGAGCAAAATTAGGAGTGACAATTTTCAACATTGCACAATAATTTGACACTACTTGGCACAAACCTTTGACTGAAACAACCTGGTAACACGAGTGAAAAACGAAGTTGGGATAGTGGCAAACACGAATAACCCAAGTACTAACTTTGTTTCTTTCTTCTTTATATGGTATTATATGAATTCTTGTAGAATTGCAGGATAACTTTATATGGTTTTGCTAATGTTAAGATAAAGTAGATTTTTATTCTAGGGAGAATTAGGAATAATTGTTTTGGCTTAGAAATAAACAGAACTTAGCCTTAAGTTTCTAGTTGAGAATATATGTGGCCCGACCACAACACAATTAACAAAACGAGTTTGGGTTAAAGTCGAGTCATTTGACACGATTAATTAAATAGGTTAGGTTAGAGTTGACTATAAGTCGGAATGAACACGAAATGAAATGACATGACAGGACACTACTACATGGCCTGACTCGATTTCCACAAGTAAAATGACGATTAGAGAGCTGGAAAATTCAAAGTTGGAGATCAATTATGGGAAGAGTAGTTTTAGCCAGGCAGGAAGATGATACTATCATGAAGATCATTAGTTGGGACATGAGAAGGTTTACGAAATCATGGGAAGAGAAGGCTAATAAGGAGGTGTTACCGTGTTAGTGAGGAATGGCCCTAATATCATAATATTACAATAAACACAAAAGGAGAGTCTAGGAGTGTGAGGGACTTTAGTGTCATCACAAGAGAGTAATTTGGTGTAGAATTTTAATGATATTGCAATTTTAGCCTTTAATCATTGTTTTATATGAGATCAGTTTTTCCCTTTAAAAAGAACTTGCATCTCTTTTTTTTTTTTTCAAGGGTAACATTTTGATCAAAGATTTACAAGGAAAAGGGGGCCCAACTGAGCGAGTTTGTGGTTAAAATAAAACCATCCTAAACTGTAATTGTTTTCTATTCAAAGAAGTAGTATTGGTTGGCATCTTGGTTTTTTACCTTCTATCTTCTGGTTGTAGGTGCTGATAAGGGTGTGATAGTTTCCGTATTACTAATAGGCGCCACTTCCAATGTTTTTCTAATACATTATTTCTAGTTTTCTTTTCTGGTAATTCTTGTACTCCCAGAATTAACCAAAGTAACATTTGTTAACAAATGCATAGTTATATTTACTTGTTTGCAATTCAAAATCCAGGAACTAGAGGCTGAGAATGCCAAGTTTTCATCTCAACTTGCAAACTGTCACTGTCATGAGGTGGGTTATTCTATTTGTTGATATACCTTTTTCAAAGGGATGACTTCTCAGTTTTTATGTTTAGTAATTTGACTATTACAAGGATATTACTGGTAATTTTTCAAAAAGGTAGAGTGACCCTTTGACGTTGGGACACTATTGATTAAATGAGGGATTAAACTTAACAAACTCTGTTAGACAAAAAACATAACTCAAAAGAAAAAAGGCATTGTACTTTTAGCCGGAAAAAAGGTTTGTCTCAGGACCTCAGACTGATTTACTAAAGGGAAAAAGAAATGAAAATCTCCTTCTTGGTGTTTCCATTTTGGCTTTTTGTTTGATCTTTTTGGTTGATCTTTTTGGTTTTGTGAAAATGAACATGTTATGATGTAGAAAGAGGACAAGCGTGATAGTTCTGCTGTAAGTTGTGATAGTTCACTGGAGACAAGCAGGAAATCAAACTCTGGAAGTAAGAAGACCACCAAGGAGATAGTAAAAGAGAAAGTGCCAGGTTTTCCCTTTGATTTTTCCTTTTCAAATTAAAATTAAGAATTTTTTATTTCTACCAGATGCCAAGATAAGACAATGCAATGACATATATTTGCCAAAGGCCTTTCTAAAACCATTGCAACAGATGCCTTATATATATATATATATCTATGCTTAAGTCCTTCAATCTCTCTTGCTCTCCGTGGCTTCGTCTCTCTGTCTAGTGGTTCATGTTGTTTCTTAATGGCTGTTTAATGTAGTTATTCAAAATTTAAATATCTCTGTTGGTACACAGGTTATGACACAAGGATCATGAATCACCACTGCAAGAGATATGTTGCTCTGAAAGTCATGTATTTTGGGCGGAGGTACAATCTGCCACTAAGATGAAATTTATTTTTATTTTTAAATTCCAGCACCGCATCTTCAACCAACCCCCTCCCCCCACGTCTTGAAAGTGAAAGAACAATAAACAGAAAGGTAGTTGAATGTTGAATTTGAGAGACCATATGGTGAAAAACTGTGTGAAATATAGGCTGTTTCATTTTCTTCTTAAGAACGTATTATCATTTTCATCCCGATAGTTTCTTTCTCCCAGATACATTTTTGATAAATTTATAGAAGAAGCTTTCTAGAACAGCATTGCATGATTGATAGGCTAGAAAGATCCTAATACCCTTCATAATGATAATGGAATGTTTAAGGGCTTTCGAACTCTGCATTACAGGTTTTATGGTTTTGCTGCAGAGGCACAAATGGATCCAACTATTGAGGTATTCTCTCTCATATTATTATTTTTTCCTTGTTTGTGCCTGAAATATGCACGGAAATGTGAACTAGATAAGCAACGTATGTTACATTGAATGTCAGAATCTTCATTGTGGTAAATTGATCTGCTCTTTTCAAGCACAACTGAAAGCTTTTACTTTTTGCATTTTTGCCCTCAAAGATGCTTGCAGTTGTCCATTTTAGACTTGGTTATGGTACTACTTGTTATAGTACTCTAAAAATGTAGTTAAACTCTACAAATTTTTCAAACGTTAAAGTATACAAATTTGTAAAAAAAAAATTCGCCCAGTATTGATATTTTATGGTATTTCATAAGTGATACCATTCTATATATTGTACTGTTGTACATATTTTGCATTTGTATGAATATGAAATGTAGCATCTTCATCCATAAGACTTCCTTCAATATTTAAAGTTGAATGCATGGTAGATATTGGTTTATATAATTAATCGTAATTTGCAGAAGTTAATGCTGCATATTGTCTTCATCTTATACTCTGGATAATATGCAGTCTGAAATTTTTAGAGCTCTTGAAAAGACAAGGCTTTTAGTTGGTGACAAGAAGGAATCACATTACTCCAGATGTGGTAGGACAGACAAGGGAGTATCTGCTGTTGGGCAAGTAAGTTGATACCAAACCTTTCTATTTGAATTTTTTAGGTTGATGATTGTAAAATTGGTACAACTGTATACAATTTGGGGTTTTCTTATGCTTGTTATTTGTGTATTCCTCAATAATGAGTCAAACTGAATTATTCTAGCATCATTTTCTGAATCTCAAGTCAGCATCACTGCTCAAGATGCTAGAAGTAGATTCCCAACTGCTATCCTAGATAAAGCCAAGATTGAAAATGTGGATTACGGTGGAAATATATTAGTGAAAGATAGACATGCATATAAAATTATAATACCAAAAAGAGTTCCTATGGGGTTCAAATACAGTAGATGGGATGCCATTTTGGTCCAGACTATCGAGAACAACTCATGGAAGTAGAGAAGTTTTGGATGTAGTTATGCACCTGCCATTAATGTGTCTTTCTATCCCTTCCTATCATCCCTCCAAGAATGATAATTAGGGTTCGCCCAGTGTAAGTTGCATAGTCTTGATGTGTGTTTGGAAATTCATTACATTACCCTATCAAGGTGTACTTTTTTAATTTTATTTTTATTTTTAATATCTAGTAATAAACTTCAGCTCATACCATCGAGGTTTGTTATAAAAAATGGAATAAAGATATTTCTCCACATAATATTCAAGTCTCAATGTCATGTATCAGTGGCGCAAAGTGGCTTTACCTTTATATATCTTATGTTTATAATAGATATACTATAGTATGTAGTTTACATGTTTGGTTAGTGAATTATTGATTGCTTTAACATTTCCATCACTTTAATTCAAAATTTCCATGTATTAATGTAATGTTTTTGTCATTTTTTATTTTTTGCCGATCCATCTGTAGGTCTGGACTAATGAATTTATCCAAGGAATACAGACTACTGATATTAGATATTTGCAACCTTGCTTGATAGTTTTGTTTCCTTGTAAAAAGAGAAGAGAAGAACCTTGCTTGATGCTAGCTCTCATGCTGCTGCTTTTCTGTATTTTATTTTCAAACTTAACTATTTGATTTATTGAGTGTATTGCAATTATTTGATGCAGGTGATCGCTCTCTATTTACGATCAAACCTCAAGGAAACATGCGAGAACAATGAAGATTCTAGAAAAATGGGTTTCAAAGAGCAATATGGTTAGCCAGCTTTTTTCGTTTTTGATAGGATATAAGAACTTTAGTGAAAAGACAAAAGAAGTACAAAAGGAGATGGACAGGCTTTGAATAGTTGACATTTTTAAAAATGGTATGCACTGTTCAGCTGAGTCCGGATGGCGACACGATCCCCATGTCTTGTCACTTTGACCCCCTGTTCTCTTCTCTCGTTCTTCACACAAGCAGTCCACCTAAGACTACAAACAAAGCACCTAGGGCAAACCATATACAAACACCAGACTAGCAAACGAGGTCAATATACAATTCCTTTCCCCCAATCAAGGAGAAGGACCCAAGCAGAGGCTAGAATCTAGTTTTATCTCAATAAACGACACCGCCTTTTGTAGGACGATGTCCTGAATAGGATGGGGGCATTGTTCACCACATTAATTTAATGTACATTTTTGTTAGCTGAGGCTTTAATCAAAGTTTGGCACTATCACTTAGCCAAGTGTCATGGCACACACCATTAAAGAAGTTGATCGGCATGGCAAAGGCCCAGCCTTGTTTGATCAGTGCAATGTGAAATCACAATTCCATATGGTAGTAGAATTTAGTGGAAACTATTTGTAGGAGGAGCAAAATAATTTTGCCTTCCAATTAGGAGCGGGAATAGGACATGAGTCCATTATACTATGCTATTTAACAAAGCCTCACAACTTTATTGCAGGCTTGTGTTTGACTTGGGAAAGCCACAGTAATATTGATAGAAAATATTTACGGATTATATGATGCTCGCTCAAGCATCACTTCTGTGCTTTCATGTAAGCATGGTTAGTATTGCTTAAAAACGGTAAAATTAAATAAAATGTCTATATTGTTTGATGCGAGAAGATTGACTTATGGGCCCTGTGTGGCTTTGTTGAGAAGCATCATAGGAAACTTGTTATGAGCAATGGCAAGATGAATTAGTCCTGGTAATTGGTTGCACAAATGGTTGGCTATACCAATTGCTGGGTTGAGTCGTGGTTGGTGTTAAACTGGATACAATGAAGCAATTGTATAGCCTTATGTTCTATTAAAAAAAAATTGTATAGCCTTATGTGCGGTACTACGTAGATTCATTTAACATAATTTTTAGTCTTTAGCAGGCACTAGTTTTCGAATGGTTGTGTTGTTAAATGCAATTGGTATGGCCTCAATTTGGGATGTTTTGGTATTTACTTGTCTATTTCTTTTGCACACACTTCAGACCATAAAATATTGGCATGAAGATGGATGAAAGTTTCTTCGGGGGAAAAGAACAAGCAACAAACAAGGAATCTAGCATGTATTGAGATTTTAGGGCATAGATTTTACTGTACTACAGTTTGAACCATATGAAACACGTTTAAGACACTTCATTTAATATTTTTAGTATCTTTTAAGTTTCAGATCTATTTCAACTAACCACATTCCATTTGAAACACATGCTCCTTTGTGTTTTTTTTTTGTTGTGCTTTTCTCAGAAGGCGAAATCGATTATGTGAGGGTGTTGAATCGAGCCCTTCCGGATGATATTCGAGTTTTTGGCTGGTGTCCTGTTCCATTGGGTTTCAATGCGAGGTTTGTCTACCTTGTATCAAATTCGCTACTATTTTTAAGATGATAGTGTTGCTCGATACTTCTTTTATTAGAACTTATCATACCGTGTGTCCTGCTTCATTTTTTCTTTTCTTTAGAAATGAAAAATACTAATCTTAAAAACCTATTGAGAGGAAAGTTCCTCTGAGTAGTTGGTCTTTATTTTGTGGTATTTCTTTAGTGAAACTAGTACATTTTAAGATGCAGAATGAATAAACTCCCAGCTGCGAGCTGTCCACCTAGTTATGCTCTCTTGAATTTCCCATGGACCATGTGAATTAGTAACCCCAAAATGGAAGTATATGTATTAATGTTTTAGATTATAGTATTTAGTATAAATTGACCTAAGAAAACATTGAGCACTCAAAACGGCATCGTGATTCTTAAGCATAATAACTGTCACCCACTGATCAATTAAATAAGGAGGCTTTACAATCTGTTGATTAGCTTCATTTGTTATGCCATGATTTTTTTTGTGTATGTCAAATCGTCATGAGTCTGGCTAAATTTTCTTGGGGCTTCTTTTTGCATAACGCTTGCACCAAAGTGTTTAATTAGGTGCCAATGCCTGGCTGTCAAATCGTCACAGCCAGAAATTCTGGAGGCACATTGCTTGTAGAAATAAAACGGCATTTCTTAATGGAAAAAGTGAAGTTCAGCTTATCAAATGTGCTCACAAGATGGGCTGCTTTTAAAGCTCCCTTTAATGTGCAAAAGGTTTAGGTATTTTAGGCCTTCTAATGCATGGTGTATTACATGGGGGTAAATGAAATCTTGTAGCCTATCACCATGCCCTTTATGAAGAGGGTGAATAAGTCTTGATTTGTTCCATGTGTAAGCTGTCTTGTATTTTTCTGACTGATAACCATGATTGTCTTGATCAAAGTTGGGGAAGGATTTCAGTTCATTTGAGGATAACTGAGTTCTGCACTTCATCATCTGTATAACTGCAAGACAATATTTTCATTTTTAATATCTGATGCTTACATGGTTGAGTCTAGTTCACTGTATTCTGTAACAGTACTGACCCTCTTTTTTTCTTTTCCTATTTTTTTTTAAAGTTCACTGTAATGACCTTATGCATTACTATTTGTTGCTTTCCTTTGTCAAATTCAGGTTTAGCTGTTTGGGCAGGGAGTATTATTATTTATTTTGGGGAGAAAATCTGAATCTCTTGGTGCGCAATTCTTCTCTTTCAAGTATCACATTTTGTGCTCCTTTTATTGGAATTAAGAGAATGAGAAACCTGGTTTCTTTGCTTCATGTTTAGCCAGGCTATGGAGAGTGCTGGTAGGAAATTTGTTGGCGAGCATGACTTCAGAAACTTCTGTAAAATGGATGCACTAAATGTACACAACTATAGGCGGAAAGTCACTTCATTTGCAATCTCTCCTTGTGATGTGAGGTTGACATGGGTAGATAATTTTTCTGACCCTGTTTTCTCTCTCTCTCTCTTTTTAAATGAGTTAATTCACATTTCCCTAATTGCTTAATTAGACAAATGAGGCACAAGTATTTGTTCATCAAGTTCTATGAATATTTCATTTCTCTCTCTCTCTCTCTCTCTCTCTCTCTCTCTCTCTCTCTCTCTCTCTCTCTCTCTCTCTCTCTCTCTCTCTCTCTCTCTCTCTCTCTCTCTCTCTCTCTCTCTCTCTCTCTCTCTCTCTCTCTCTCTCTCTCTCTCTCTCTCTCTCTCTCTCTCTCTCTCTCTCTCTCTCTCTCTCTCTCTCTCTCTCTCTCTCTCTCTCTCTCTCTCTCTCTCTCTCTCTCTCTCTCTCTCTCTCTCTCTCTCTCTCTCTCTCTCTCTCTCTCTCTCTCTCTCTCTCTCTCTCTCTCTCTCTCTCTCTCTCTCTCTCTCTCTCTCTCTCTCTCTCTCTCTCTCTCTCTCTCTCTCTCTCTCTCTCTCTCTCTCTCTCTCTCTCTCTCTCTCTCTCTCTCTCTCTCTCTCTCTCTCTCTCTCTCTCTCTCTCTCTCTCTCTCTCTCTCTCTCTCTCTCTCTCTCTCTCTCTCTCTCTCTCTCTCTCTCTCTCTCTCTCTCTCTCTCTCTCTCTCTCTCTCTCTCTCTCTCTCTCTCCATGTGTGTGTTGGGTGCGTAGCCTACGGGTTTTGTCCGGCGACATTCATACATATGCAAGCAGCATGTGCAAACACAGCCTTTTGCCTTGAGCAGAAGATGTGATTGTCCATCTCCCCAACAGGGTACACAGATTTGAGTTTTCGAAAGTGTTAAAAATGGACGTTTCCAGAACAGATATTCAGAGCATGGTTCTGCTTTTACGCTTGACTTCCTCTTTGCTAAATACTTCATATATGTCCGATAGATTTTTTATTTTTTTAACTTTATATATGCACTGCTGGGTGTCCTCTCTTGTTTGGGGGGCCAGCATCGAAATCCTTTTGTACTGTTCTCTAGATTAGACAGTTTTTTTTTTAAAGACTTTTAAATTAACGTGTAAAAGTTATTTCCTGACTTCAATTCAGTGCTACATGATCTTTACTTTTTTTAACAAGACTTCAATTTCCTGTCTCTCAGTTAGGAGTTGACCTATTTCAAACCTGTGTTCCAGTAAAACCTGATTTGGTTCTTGCTCTTTCTGAATCTCACTTTCTGATTTTTCCCTTTGGCATCATCTGTTCAACTCATAGTTCAGTTTCTAATCTTATCAACTTGCCAAAAAGAAGAATTTTCTGTATTGAGCCTTTCCTGAATGGACTTTCATGAGTATTTCTTTATAATTTTGCAATTGTTTTCAGGTTTGATGAGAACCAGCTTTGGGCAATCAAAATTAAAGGTAGTGCTTTCCTCTGGCACCAAGTTCGATGCATGGTTGCTGTACTATTCTTGATCGGCCAAGGTCAAGAATCTCCTGATGTGCGTACCAAATGTCTTCTTGATTGGGTTCTCAAGTTTTTATATCAAACTTGTTTAAGCTGTTAAGATATACTACTTCAAAATTATTTGTTTCTTGAATCTCTTAAAACAATCAGCCTGGCATGTGCACAAAACTGAGGTGCAGCCAGAAACACTGTAAAGGTGAAAGTTCTACAGGTACAGAATGGTTATCTGGATATCACACATCAATAACATGCTTCCACACATGCAAACGAATTGCATCCAGTCAGATGCCTCTCTTGCATTATCACATATGCTTTCTGAATTCGCTTATGAAATCTTACATATTTCTCAAAATGCTTTCCGGTTTCCAAATTGCAGTCTCTATGTTAAGTTTTCATTTTTGTTACATAAAAGTAACTGAGGCAGACTGATTTAATTTGTAGGTGATAGATGCGTTACTGGATACTGACAGAATCCCCAGAAAACCTCAATACAGCATGGCCCCGGAAATCCCATTGGTTCTCCAGTCTTGTGAATTTGAGGGTCTCAATTTCACTTGTTCGTCAGGTACTTTTTTGATACATCATATGCTTTGTTTGTGAGTTATTGAAATTTGGAGTGTTGACGTTCTGTCACATCCATTTTCTTCTCTCAAATATTGCTTGCTGAATTCAGAACTGCCCATGCAAATTGCAATGACTCTCCGACTTCTAAATGTTTAATTTACTTGTGTTCCTAGATTCTGGGCAAGCTTTGCGTATACACTTGGCAAATGAATGTCAAAATTATCATCTCGAAGCTGCAATCTTCCACGAGGCTCTGCAGAGCTGCTCGCCAATAGAAAAAGGTGCTGAAAGCAATATTCCTCATATTATTTCCAATAAACCATATAATATTTGTTGTATATTTATCTCTTACTGAGACGACCTTTGTTTTCTCAGATCAGAGATCCTTGGATAATGGAACAGTCAAGAAAAAATCTTCCCATGTCCCTCTCATGTCACGGCCAACTGAGCGTAAGTGCTACTGTATCTTTGAAAATTACATAGAACTGTTCACTACAATAAATGAAATGTTTTTGCAAGTTTGCATCCTCATTAAAGAGCTGGAATGCGTTACATTATACTTTATGGTGGCTTGTTTTATATTATGCACTTAATATAATGTGGGTTCAGGAGTGTCTAGATAACATCATGTTGTGTGTATTGTATCATGATCATAATGTTCAATGTGATTATCATGATTTCTCATGGGCTTCGGTATTTCTGGAGTTCGAGGAATATTCTCTGTTATCTTATCCAATCCGAAAGCTGTGTAGTCTTGTTCCTGCTGTCTTTTCATTTTCAATGCAATTTTTGTATGGCTGTTTATGATTTTTTAGAGATCGCTAGTGAGATCCTATATGCCAGCAGACACCTTGTCCTCTGTTTTGTACTCTTTCATCTATACTAATTTGAAGAAAAGATGCTTTGTCATGCACTGTAGCGGAAATGCCAAGTCTACCCTTAATACTTTAAACAAGTGAGATAATAAATCTTAAAATTAGGGATAATATACTAATTTCATATGAAATCATTTTGCATCCAGACGATGTTATTTCTTCTCTACTTGCTAGCATAATTCCTTTCCAATATTTCTAATGCTGCCTCATTACTCTGCTTGAATTGATCCCAGCATCGTATGAAGAGAGACGTACCAAATTAAACACACGACGTAAAGACTGAAGAGTTCATTAATATTATATCTGGAGATTACAAAAGTATAGCAGATTCTACCATTGAACTGTAGTATGTTGTATTGATAAATTATTTGTTTCATTTGCATAAATGCTGCTCTATGATTTTGTTGTCAACGTAATTTTCTTACTAGCGATTTTTTTCATTACTTTTTCTGTTAGTGGAAATGAATTTAACACAATGAGCTTTTGATTATTCTACCTACCTGGGAGTATAACAATCCCTTGTAGCCTTTTTATTTTAAATTAAACCGCTACAAGCCTTTGCTACTTGGAATTTCCATTGTTAGATCCAAATCACTCTTCGTGGGAAGGAAAACTACTTTGCAATCAGTATGCTGTTGTGTCGGTATTTTAAGTCAATTACGTACTGTCATGTGAGAAAGTTATGCGTCACAATGCATGATTGACCCGTGATACTGCTAGTCAGATCCAAATCGCTCTCTTCTTGGGAAGGAAAACTACTTCGGTATGCTATTGTGTTGGTATTCTAAGTCAATTACGGACTGTCATGTGGGAAAGTTAGAATGCATCACAATGCATGATTGACTTGTAATACTGGTAGTCAGATCCAAATCACTTTCCGTGAACAGATTTATAAACTGGGTCCCTCATTTGTTGGCGGGATTATACTCTACACCAAACGGCTAGCGTGCTAGCGTAACAAAGTTAAAAAGGAGCATGGACAAGGAATGTAGGCCTCACTAAGCCCAATCATGTTACTGACTCCTTGTAGCTGCTTTGGGCCCCCATCCAGAAAGCAATGTCCAATCAACTCAACTCTTTTCATTGCTGTGAAAAAGTTTTGCCACCTTTTTCTTTGTCTATAAAGCTAAAATTATGAATATTGAATAGAGGAGTCGTACGCTTTATTTTTCTTTTTTCTTTCTTTTTGTCAAACGGAAGAATAGGTGGGTTACATGAGTTGAGGTTTTTTTTCCCTAAGTTCTTAGAAGTCATTTTACAAAAAGGGTCAATTTGTCTTTAAAATTTTGAAGATAAGGTGAGTGGGGAAATAGCAACTCTTTTTTTACTCATCTACATTTGTAGAGGAAATAATGAATGAGATAAAAAAAAAATGTTGCTTAAATTAAATAGAAGAAGAATAATGAGAGTAAAAGTAGAAATAATTTGAAATGTGAGTAATGTGTAACTATCCTATTAATTTATTTATTTATTTTACAAGTGATGTTAGGGGAGAGGGAATCAAATATTGGACATAGGTTAAGGAGTTTTTACTTAATCACTTGAATTACAAGCTTATTTCAACTATTATATTACCTCTAGTTGAGCCGTAAGCAGAAATTTATCTTTAGTTTTCAATTATGAAAATTATTCAAAATACGAAAGATAGATGTGACGTTTTATTTCGATGATGATGATTGAAAAAAAGTTTTTTTTTAATGATTTCATAAATTCTTTCATAATTACAAGCCCTTTGAGATACTGGAAAAAGCCCATCTCTTTTAATTTTTCAAATTATTGTGAGGGGTGTTCATTGTAAATCTTGTGAAGTAAAAAACTTGACCATAAATTTGAATTTCAAACTCCTTAGTGGCTGTCACAACCCTATTAGAAATGCTAAGGACAGTAATATGTGATTCTTAGTTGTTGTATTATGGGTTGTACATGCATTAACGGTTGAAAGTCGTTCGTGCACGCATAGACAGTTGTCCCAATCATTGCTTATATATTATTTCAACATTGAAGACTTTAAAGGGATATTTAGCATTGGTGCACTTAATATTTTGACTAAATTATATCAATTTGGCAAATTGATAAATAAATAAAAAATACAAATAAATACAAATAATAGGGCAGAGGGGTATGTGATGGAGTAGTTCCCGCGAGGGAAACTCGGGTCAAACAAAACAAGGCGCCTCTTTTCTCTTCTCTGAGTTTTTAGCAACCAAACAAACAAACAAACAAACAACCCAAAATCGAAAAAGGAAACGCAAAAGCAAAAATAAAAAATAAATAAAAATTATCAGAGAGAGTTTTAGAGCCAGCCAGCCCTCACCTGAGAAACTAAAACAAAGAAAACCAAGGAACAAAAAATGGAAGCAGCGATGGGATTGATGCGGAGAATGCCTCCCAAGCACACCGAGACGGCTCTCTCCGCCCTCCTCTCCCTTATGCCCCAACACTCCTCCGATCTCCTCTCTCAAGTCGATCAGCCCCTCCAGGTCCGTCTGTTTGTTACCCGAGAAAATCCACCTTTCTAACATCAAAACTCAATTTTCAGTTTTTCTTTCTCTTTGGCTTACCAGCCTCTTAGGGTTTCATTTTAGTCAAAAAAGAAAAAATGGGTTGTTGAAATTCGAGAAAGAAAAGTAATGACAGCTACAATAGCAGCATTGAACTCACTGTGTTGCACTGATTTCCCAAAAGCAGGTTTTGTGCGATATGGAGTATGGGAAGGAGTTCATTTTGTGTGAATATAATAGAGATGCAGACTCTTACAGGTAAAAACACTCCATTCTTTGTTCTGTGAACAGTCAAAGTTGATGACTTCTTGTTAGATTTGTGATCTAATAGGCCTTAACAGTGGCATTTTTGTGGGAGATTTTAGATAGAGCAGATCTGGCCTTGATTTTTGAATCTAGATGTTTTGTATAATTTGATTTTCTTTTTGTTACGCATGCAGATATAATTGATATGGTAAATGAAATGCATGTATAACTATCTATTTCACAAACACACAGACTCTCAAACCGCTGCTTTCATTTTTGCTCTACTTTGATGCTGCTTCTGTAAAGTATTCAAAATCATTTTACAAAATCTCTTGATTTTGCATTCGGCTACTGGGGCTACATCTTCAGTTTATTTTTTGTTTTATCTTTTATGTTCTATTCTATGAATATCAGTTGCCTTACTCATCTTTTTATTTTCTTTTTTGTGTTGCTATATTTCTATATAGATCACCTTGGTCAAATAAATATCATCCACCATTAGAAGACGGCAGCCTCCCGTCTGAAGAGTTGAGGAAACTTGAAATTGAAGCAAACGACATCTTTGCCATTTATCGTGACCAGTGAGGTCCTTTACTTACCTCGTTCTTGTGTTATTGTTGTTAGTCGTTGAATTGTATAATCTAACCACCTCCACAATGCTTTTTTCTTCTTATTATCTAATTTTTAAAACCAACCAAAATTTCTAGATAGTATCCTATCCTCATGCAATTTATTTAGCATAATGGTTCATTTATTCGTTTCATTTTGAAGATTTACCACAGCTTAATTGACCGGTAATTTGGTAGGTATTATGAAGGTGGAATTTCATCAGTTTACATGTGGGAGGATGATAACGAATGTTTTGTAGGCTGCTTTTTAATAAAAAAAGGTCTACTGCCTGAACCATCTCCAAGCATATATAAATATCAACTTATTTTCTGTTATATTCCTTATTTCTGATTTTTATTATTCGTGGGAATGAAGACGGCTCCAAGACAGGTCAAGGTCGCAGAGGTTATCTGCAGGAGGGGGCATGGGATGCTATACATGTAATTGAGGTAAACTCCATTTGTCACGGTTGGACCAATGTAGACCTGTGGTGAGGGTCTTCATGTAGTCCTGCTGCTCTCTTCCCTTTCACACTTCAACTAAATTTTCATTATGTTTGTTTGTCATTTATTCTCCCAATCATTCTGGGAACTTCGTTTTTTACATTAGGTGGGTCCGGAGGAGGAAGGAACATCCCATTACCGTTTAACCAGCACTGTCATGCTGTCTCTGACTACAGACAATGAGTCATCAGGCACATTCAGTTTGTCTGGATCAATTAGACGACAGGTAATCATGATTTTGTTTCCGTTTGGGATGGATTGGTATGTCTCCCATCTAAATGCCTCTTGGGCTTTGACATTTAAGTGATAAACGTGTTTCAAATAGATGGAGTTGTTATCAGCGAACTGTTGCTCTTGTTTGTTGGTACAAATACACATTTTAGCTATTGAATGTTGTAGTGGAAAATCTTCTCTCTTTTGATATTTATGAGAGGAAGAACTTAATGTGCACCAATGAGTGTTGTGACATCTTTGTGGCCCTAAGGTCTCCCCCGACCCTGCCAACCTCGGGTGAAAAAGATCAATAACAAAAATGGAAGAGAAACCTTCCTCCCCACCAAAAGAGAAATAATGCCTGGTTGGATGGTTCCTGTGCTAATGTAGCTTATAAGATTCTTTTGGTCATATGCACTGAAGATGAAGACCTAAAGATGCACTAACATGGGGAAAAGAGGATAAATGGAAATAATATAACAGGGGTAGAACGGTGTGAAAGTAAAGGGATTATTTATTGGAGTTATGTTGTAGAGAATTACCTCGTCTTATTGGAAGAGAATAGTCCATGATGTGGCCCCCAAGTTTTTGAAAAAGGACTCATGTTACTTGTACATGCATTTAATAGGGATTTCAGTTTTTCCACATGCATTTACTCTTTGTTTGGTTCCTGGAAAGCAAGTGGAATCAAAATGCTAAAAAGGTCTAAAAATGCTTTAAAACAAAGCTACTTCGAAATTCTTCTTTTTCTTTGCTCCATATGTGCGCAGAATTTAACAGAGCCTCAATATGTTTTGTTGATTGTGTTAAGGCTGAGATGGTTTAGATTAAGCACAAGATTTGTTCTTTAAATGATGACCCAAAATTTGTTTTCTATGCTGCCTTTCATGTACTATTTGTATGATATCCTGGGGTGGATAAACTATTCTTTCTTGTTGGCTTTGTAGATGAATATGCACCTCTCAGTTCAAGAAGGTCATCTTTGTAACATGGGAAGAATGATCGAAGAAATGGAGAGCAAGCTGAGAAATTCACTGGATCAGGTACTGTGGTCTGTTATGTGTGGATTTACCTTTCTACATCCTGCTCTACAGTTTGAGCTATACAATGTTTCAATAAAGTATTGAGCAAAGAGCCATGGCCCAGGCTTGAACTTAAGCCATGCCTTCTGAAAGCAGTGGATTTACCACTTAGCCGTCCGACAGGGACTTGAACCATTGTGCAGTTGTGGCTAGACAGTAGGGCTTATAAAGGCCTTGTATTTTATCTTTGGAATTTAAAGTTATGTCATTGATCTACCTATTGCAGGTTTATTTTGGGAAGACGAAAGAGATGGTTTGCACTCTACGACCACCATCTGAAGTAGTGATGAGACTGCCTGACAGCTGATGTGGCATTCTATGTCCTATCAATAGGGAGAACAGTCACCAGGCGTTCGTTGTCATATTTGCTTAACAGGGTGATTGGTGTTTTGGTGTAGTTCGTATGTCATTATCCCAGTTTTTGAAATGTTCTTGCAATTTGATTTGCTCCAGTTGGTGGCCTTGTGCCTTTGCACAGTGGAGAAGATGGCTGGTTTGTCAATTGAAAACGCATCATGGATTTTGTATTTTCATATGCCTTATCAAGTGTTTTCTTGAGTTAGTTTGTTATGCCTTTTCTTTTTGGTTTTTTTTGGGTGTGAGTAATAGAATTATTCTACTGCCAGGTCAATTTATGTTACAATTTTCATATTATTCCATAAGCTGGATCATTTTAGTAGGCTTGGCTGAAATATATAGTTACCCACCCATATTTTCCATGATCTTTCCATAGTTTGTGTGTCTTTTGTTGGTGCATTAGGGATACTCTCTGTTTTTCGCTAATCATAGTTTTCTTTTTATTTTCTAAACTCAAAACATAAAATTTATTTTTTATTCGAATTTTAGAACTCTATTGTACTTGAAAAAAGTTGTTTTCCTACGGCCTTAGAATTGCAATGATCTGTTAAATTCAATTCATTATAATTTCACAAACCAAAAACAGGGTTATTTGCATTTTCTCTTCTTAACGGAAAACAATATTCTATACGTGAGTGCTCAATATTCTATATATGAGTGCTCAAATGGAAATCATTACGCTAACTTCTCGGTTAGACAGGCTCAACATCATCTTATGATTTGAACTATTTATTTGTTAAGTTATCATTCAAAGATCACCATTGGAACAAAAAAAGCCAAATTAGACAACATCTAACTATGATAAAAAATAGTTAAACGATATTCGATTTGGCTAATTTTCTAAAAGGGAGATCTTTAAATGAGGACATAAAATATGAATGATTTATACATCATGAGATCATATTGTGGAGTGAGTCCAAACGAGTATTATTCAAACCTAAACTCTAGACAAGGAAGAACTTGGTTAACACCTACACTGACCAAACTACCAACATTTCCTTCTGTCCAGTAAAATAAATAAAAACCTACGCAACATTTCAGGTTTAAAAACGGCTTGATCAAGTAAACCACGACGCCAACAGATGCATAATTCAATGGTAAGAACATTTGCCTGCAGATAATAATCTCATATTTGAACCCCAATAGCACCTTCCCCTCCCCCTTCCGCATGACATATTCCTGTCTTTTGTTGTCTCTGAAATATCCGTAGAACTAAATTGTACTCTATAGCCATGCACTTTGTTGGCAATAGAACTAGAAAGAGAAGACCCAGGTCACCCAGATAATCATTTTTCAAGTTACTCATATGACGATCTGATTACCTAATCATCCTGCGATCAAACTCATTGCAGACTGAACAATCATACTTGATGCCACGATTAACAAGCTCAACATAACGTTCGACAAATCAACGAAATCTCGGGTTTAAAATCTCACTGAGATGCATACTATAATGAATAAAAACCATACATCATCACCAGTAATGAACAAGCTGATATCTAATACCTAGTAAATGCCAGAATTCGATGCACAAAAAGTGGAAATTTAGTAGAGCTTGCCTTGCCAACAGCAATCCTCTCACTAGACTACCCCTCAGGAAAAATGAAAAACAAAATGAAAAGGTGAATCCTTTGGTGAAGGTGAAGGAAGCAAAGCATTCACAAAGTTTGTGTGTCAGAAAATAAAACACATATTCAAGTGCATGTCAAAACAGAGAGTAGCATTGGCTTTGAAGACATTGTAAGAAAGGCTTTCACCCCTCAAGCTTTGCAGTACACCCTGCCACTTTTCGAACATTTTGCATCATCAGGCAGAAGCCTTTGCGTCATGCTCACCACTCGCAGGAGGTTTGGCATCAGATTGTGCAGCAGCCGATGGTGGTTGGTCAACAATTTCATCCTCGGTGTCACTATCACCAATCTCTTCTGGTAGTTTTAGACAATTAAATCAAAAGTCAAATACAGTTACATTATAGCTTATCTGCACTTAATAGTCCAGTTCCTAAAATAAAAATAAAATCACATAACTGTAATGAAAATGATGTGGATAATAGATTGTGAAACTCACCATCAAAGTTGCCAAGAGCATCGGGATTGAAGCCACCGGGGCCACCCATGTTCATGCCAAGAGCATCAGGATTGAAGCCACCGGCACCACCCATGTTCATACCAAGAGCATTAGGATTGAAGCCACCGGGGCCACCCATGTTCATGCCAAGAGACTCAGGATTGAAGCCGCCACCGCCGCCGCCACCCATGTTCAGTTTCTGAAATAACAGGATAAAGGCAATTGTTTATGTTCATGAAATATTTAATACACGCTTCAATAGTTAGGTGATGGAATAGCTAACTATAATTTATATATGTAATGTGATAGTTAGGTGATGGTATGACTACTTACAGAGAAATCAAAGTCTCCGAAGTCCATATTGTTTCCAGCTGAAAACCAAAATTACATATAATGAAAACCAGTCAGAATTTTTCCAGGAAACTATGCCAATAGGGGTAGAGATTTAGGAAGGATACGAGAAACACTTACCACCTTCATCAGGTTTCACTTCCGGCTCTTCATCTTCATCAACCCATTTATCCCAATCCACTTTGAGAAACACAGGAGCTTTTCCTTGTTGTTTTATCAACCTGCTCCACCATTTGTCCTCAGCTTTTTTCACTAGGTAACAGATATTTCTCAAGCCAACACTAGCCTTGCTCTCCTGCAAAGGAAAAGATAAGTTAGTGTCATAATTGATAACTATCCGATATAGTAGTAAAGATAGATTAAGATGTAATGGCTGCAATTGGAAACCTACATTTACATCAATCTTGTCATAGAGATCAAGGTCAATTTCATAAGGTGTCTTCTCTGGTCCAGTAGTAGCAGAGAATAAAAACTTTCCTTCAGGCTCCAGGTTAAGCTTTACATCCTGGGCATCCGGCAAGTCAATAGTTATGTAGACCGTATCAGACCTCTGGGCCCATTTCACATTAGGATGTCGGCTGAAATTACAACTTTAAATGAAAATTAGTACAAATGAATACAAACACCAACGGAGTAAACTGTTACAATATACATATATTCCAGAAAATGATGAAGAAAATGGAAACCCATGTGTATAGCAGTTTCAATAACTACAAAATTAGCATTATAGTTCACTTCTTGAAGCAAGTACTGTAAGACAAATCAGACTAGCATTCATCAAGCCAAAGCTTGTAGCTACTAGATCCTACACTAACCAAGCGTTCCTGCACAACTATTCACCAATATGGCATTTTAAGCACGAAAAACAAAAATAATATAGAAACAAGAGTTAAAGGAGTAAACAAAATAAAAATGGAAAAGCAAGACTTGTACAAGCGCAATATTAAACATAGTTGCATTCATTGAATAAGTTTTCTGTATATGCATCATCGTATCGTACAAAAGAGACGGGCAGAAAAATAAGAAATCTAAATTTACAAATTCCCTTTCCCATTTGGGTCTGGTATGATTTCACCAAAATCTCACGACATTCAGTTTTGAAAAAATATAAGCATAGCCCTTTCTTTGGTTGCAGAGAAAAAGAAAGATGGAAAATAAGGAAATACATATTTCGACCAATACAGTCAGTTAAATCACAGCATATGTAATTACCATTTCCAGGGAAGAAATAATAACTAAAACCCTAGACCTCTCCTGTTTGGTTGCGGAGAAATACATAAAGGTGAAGAAAAGGAAATCAAGGAAAATACCCAGCGACTGAACCCAACAATCAAAACAGGCCATCCCCCATAGGCAGAGTCAAGTTCTCATACTTACAGATGACTCATTTTCCTTCACTTTCTAAGCAACCAAACAGAAAAAAAAAAATTGAAAACAAACAATAAAAAACCTAGCTCAAATCCTATGCTTCACATGAAACTCAAAAATGAAAAACGAACAAAATCAGCAATAAAATGTAAATTAAAAGAAACTAGGAGCTCAGAACAACACCTCATCTTGGCGTATTGATCTTCACCCAGAAACTGCGTTTTCTTGCGAGAGAGAGACGAGAGAGAGAGTGGTTTATAAACGAAAGGAAAGGGGTTTTAGTGTGATTTTATAGATGGAGTTTATGGAAGGTAAAAAGTGAAAATGCACGGTAAAAAGTGAAAATCGGGTCTCAGATGCTTCCGTGTGGTTCCACACTTCCATTTTATTCTAGATACTTGTGCAAGTTTTAGATCTTTTGCGGTCGCAATCGTCTGGGGGCAACCTCATTTGGAGGGCTGCTTGAGTTCCCTAGGGCCCGCTACGATTAGGGCTCTCATTAGATAAACGTTTAATTACTTGGAAAAAAAAAGAAGGATAAAAGTTTAATTGTTGTGAAATGTAAGGTGTATGATGCGTGAATATTGAAGGTGCACGTAAAGTAAATGAGATAGAATATTTAACGAGGTTCGGCAATGTCTATATTCCCAGAGAACAGCAACAGTAACCTTTTCACTATGTAAAATAATAATGCTACAAGAGAATACCACTTTAGTGTTTTCACTTTCACAGACTCACTGATTTTTCTTTTAGCTCTCACTCTCCTCTTTCTTCTTCCTCTCTGCCTGGCTCTCTTTTTCTTCTCTGATGGTGAGCCTTGCCAAGGCAGAATGATGCCTTATTTATAGGCTAAGGAAATGATGCCTGTGAATGTACAATCCAAACCCGATGCACCAAAGTCTTCTAGTGGGCTCCAAATTTCTTCTCTTTACAACACTTCTCTTTCGAGACCTCAAATAACATATGTAAGACTTTATTGTATGCAAAATATTCCTAAACCAATTGAGCACTTAAACCACACCTTAACTCAGAAAGACGATTGAACAAAAGAATTATTAGAGATAAGGCTTACTTGAATTAGCCATAATCAAATATACAAGATGATCTTCTCCTCTCAATATTCCAAAATGTCAAGGCTTTCAATAGGACAAGCATACATAATATGAACATATAAATTTGAGAGCAAAGACCAAACCTTTTATATAAGTTGCTTTACAACTGACTCTCTTATTAAAAGACAATTGCCAACCAAAACGTAGAGATAACAGATGATATCCATCTTCTGCGTTATTCCATTTATTCATTATGTGAATAAAAGTCTCATAATATCTTAATTTAAATATAACTCTATTTATTATTTATATGACACCTCATAATAATTGTGGGGGTCTTTTTCTTCCGATAGCTACTACGGGCCTGGGCTGCCGTAAATAGCAAAATGGATGAAATTGCCCCTTGAGCCTGAGTTCAGAGATCAAGCCCCAAGAATGCTTCGAAAGGACAGTAAGGCCTTAGGAAACACCTTGGTTACCTTCACCAACAAAAATAACAACAGCTTACAGATAAATTCTTGGCTTAG